CAGTTCACATCAAAGCCTTTCCTCGGAATTCATGTTAAATGGCTTATTGATAAATAATTTCCATTTTCTTTCGTCTACTTACGAAAATGCATTTTATAGGTATGTTACACCTTCATACTTCGCACAATCAAGAGGTTCAAGGATGAAAATGGTACTATTCATAACGAACACGGTCAAAGACATCGAGCTATGAGTGTCGCTAATTCAAACTCTGGAAGAAAGTGAGCGCTTAAACAATACAATTATTTTTGAAAATAATTTTTCTTTTCGTTTTAGGATGCAAGCTGTAGGCCGGCATAAGTATATTTATGTGATTGGAACAGTATTAATAGTGGATTTGTTATTTCTCTGCCCGTACTCAGGAATTCAGCTGGTTGCTTTTCTGCATATAAATCATTTGATAGAGATTACCCATAGCAGCACTTTGATACGTTGGTGGCTACAGGTCAGTAACCTTATTGTATCTGAACTTCTCTTCCCGCCCTCCCCCCTCTCCCCTCCCCCTTTCCACCTAGAAAGGTGACTCAAATAAAATTGGTAATTTGTTTTGCTATCATATGCTTGCTTTTTGGATTTTGCGTATGCAGAACAGACAAAAACAATTTTACGTGAAACCAAATTGTTTAAAGGAAAAAAAACAGGGCGTTTTCGGAAACGTGCCTCACGAAAATTTTTTTTGATAAACATGAAACAAAAGATCCTGAAATAAATGCATGTCTCTTTTTGTAAGTATCAGAACAGTATCAGCAGCGACTGAGTTCTGCTATCGTTGCATCAAAAAAGTAATATAGAACCTGCCAAGCGAATTTTATGTATGATTTTAAAATGTTATGATGGTTTTTGATTTGATGTTCTGCGTGAAAGATGGCTGTAACTCAATTTCAGTTTGGATTTTATTGTTTCAGTAAAAATCAATGAGGCGAGAAATTTTTACAAAAAATCGTAGCTCAGGGCAAATTGCAACCTTAGCAAAAACACAGAGAAGTTTTTTATGAGCTTTGGGCCACAAAACTACCACTGTTCATTTCCAGATCCTTTTATTCTAGAAAAAAATTCCTCTATGGATGGCTACAGAAAGTGATCTGTGTCAGTTCAAGGTCTTACGGCTATATCACAATCTGAAAGTGTGCTAAAATGAAAAATTAATATTGATCAATGAGAAAAAGCAGCCTATGCCCGCCCAGCCCTCATGAATAAGCGCAAATTTTCTTCTGTTTTCAAGAAATGTTTACAAAATTTTCCAGAACATTATCAACTAGATATTAGTTTTATTGCAAGCATCTTGTACCATTTCTAGGTTTTAATTGGCGTGCATTCTGTCTGTCAACCATTGTGTTACTTCCGAATGACGGAGTTTCGACGACTGGCTTGCTGTGTAACTCGGCCTTGGAATTCGCGGAGCTGCTCGGTGCTTAATAAAAGCTTCGGTCTGTCTGCCTTTTCACTCAAGTTTTAGGTTACAAATCCATACTTTTAGTAAATACGCGATCTGTCATAAGAGATGATGAATTGTTAGATCCAATGGATTCACCGCAAATAAGGGAGCCTTTGCTAAATATGACGCATGACCCTGTTGGTTCGCTTTGCTCCCCTGCAAGGAATCGATGTTTATTTGGTACTTTAGATTGTGAACTCTATGTCTCCACAAGCTTGGTCTCGACAGGAACTTACTCGGTTGCGAACAAGCGGCAATAGTGCACAGGTACTTTTGAGTCTAATCCCAGACGAAGGCGGATGCCCGCATAAACGCAGGCACGCGACCGCGTTCGCGCCCGCTGCGCAGGTGCAAGCATCCGCCTTTGTCCAGAACTAGACCCTACATATTTGTTATTATAAAATCTTGTTCACTAAAACGTCCTTTTCAGATCATCAAGGAAGATCAAGTGGACTTCGTCGATGCGGATATTGAAATGGGTGCTGTAAAAAAGAAGCGGCCGCCTTCTGAAATTTTTGCGAGAAATTTATTCCCTGTGATCTCTGCGCGCATTCTATGCATTTTCCATAGAAAAGCCATACTTGAATTCATTATTGGCTTTCCAGCGTTTGTATAATTGTCATAAAAATACGGCTGACAGTCATTATCTATTTTCTTGACTTTCTGTAAATATGCTATGAAATGAAGATTACTAATGCGTTCGTTATCATAGTTGACATGACGAGTAAGCAATTAGGATGCTGACTGAATGGTGCAATGGAACGATGTCAAGAATCTCAAGCAAACTTATCGTGCATGCATCTAGTACATCAGTCTTGTTCATAGATAATGATCTCACTTCAAAGATCACTTTTCGTCAAAGAAAATGATAGGCAGTTTTTTCAAGCTTCTTCTTTAAGTTCTTTCCGTCTGTTGTATCCGTACAGTATTCATACAATGTGCAACCAGCAGACGGATTTGGGTAAATGCTATTTTCAGTACATCAAGCAATTCGCCTCGTTGTAAGTAAGAATTTGAAAAAATTGTGAAAACTGAGTAGCTACTGTATACTCAAAATTCAGGACAGCCTGTCCTGGGCAGACTATAGCAGTTCTATGAATAAAGAGTTGCGCCAGTCGGTTGAAAGAGGTATTCCGTTTGTCGTCCGGAACGAAAAGTACGGAAAAAAGGCAAACTGAAGAACGCCGCGCTACAGCGGCCGCCGCAGTCTTCAACAATCAAAGAGATACTGTATGTAATAGGAAGCAGCCACTCTTTCTAGAGCGTTTTCCCTATTAAATTACTCCAGAGCGGGTAGGAGAACGAACGCCGCCAAGGGCCGCCTTTCGCGGCCTCTATTCCATTTTGCAATGTTGTGCATGTCGTTCTAGGACCAGTAGTCCGCGGAGGCCGCCCAAATTGGCAGCATTCGTTCCCTTACCCATCCAGTGCCTGTTCGTAGAGATCATAATGCCCAACTGCCAGAAAGGCTCCCTGGCTTTTAAAGTGATCAGAGCAAAATTTGACAGATGTATAGAGTTTCAACAGTGAAAAAGAACGAAAACCCACGTTGCAGACTGTGGCGTATAAATACTAGCTGTGCTGTAAATGAGTACAAGAAAACATATAAGCGAATTAGAGGTTGCCTTCGGAAAAGCATAAATTTATCACAGCAGATCCGCTAAGGCATTAGGACGATATTTTATCTCATTTCAATTTCATTCAATACGCTCAAGGGGTTCCAAAACATATGATAAAAACTATTAGGCTGCTGCATAATTCTGTCCGATTTTTTGCCTTGTGTTTGAAGCAGCTGTTCTAAGAGCTTCGTCTCTAATGCGGTATTGTTAGTATCATTAGAAAGTGCTTTTCTTGCTCTTTCTAACGCATATCAAACTTCGATGAATTTTCTTAGTGTAAGGAGATTTCAGACCTAAAATCTTCAAGTGGCCGAGGTACCAAGAAATATGTTCATGCGAGAAAATCTCAAGTGCGTTCTTCAAGTCAAGTTTTTTCATTGGCTGCGGAATAACAGTGTAAAAGACTCGTACACACAGAAGCTCAATTTCATAAAGAAAACGTCTTGCTGGTAAAATTTATTGCCAAACATTAACTTTTTGTGGAGATGTACAGGCTATAACTATCTGCGAATAGAAGTAATCGATGAGTTCAAAGTTGGAGGTGCTAGGGTGACGCAAGAGCTAGCAGGGCCCATCCACCAACTCCTTTTCGGCGCTCACTTTAATTGTAATATTCACAACTAGCTGGCTTACCCGACTCTGCCCGGCCCTGTTAAAACACTGTGATAAAGCTCCCATCCCTATCCCTGTATAATCTTTCCCTGTGCCCATTTCTACATATCAACTCCAACTCCCTATTCCCGCTGTTTTAGTAATCAGCATGCTCGATTATCACCCTGTGCCAACTCCCAGCCCCGTAGCTCAGACTTTGCTTAAAAAATCGATAAAATCGATAAAAGTGATGGCTAATTTCAAAAACTAATACTGTATTCATAATCAGCATGCTTAATTACCTCCCTGTGCCAACTCGCAGCCCCGTAGATCAAACTTTACAAAGTAAAAATCGGTATCGACAAAATCGATATCGACCGATGACGAAAAGTAGCCTGTGACACCCGCCCGGCTGCGAAGTGTATGTGTGCCAAGTCTGGTCCGCATCGATTCGGAAATAGAATTTTCTATTCTGAACATACTTACACACAGACATATAGACAGACAGACAAACAAACAGAAAATTCAACTTTTTATATAAGACTCGTAATTAGGCATGCGCAGATGTGCTAAAGCAAGGTCAAAAAGCGGCTTCTTTTTTGCTCAGTCAGAAAATCTCTTTCCAGCACAGACTCCATGGGTCTTTTATGATGCAAAATAATCTACGAAAATTTCTCTATCTATCCATTATTAGATAAGATGCCTATTTTCGTTCTCGTTCTCTATTTAATTCTTAGGGAGCACTGCCACGTCAAAAAGGACAGGTTTGAAGGCAAACGCTGTAAAGTTTTTGGTTCTTGCATCTTCCTTAACAATGATTTTTGCAAGTCTCAATATGTGCTGATAGCGTTGGTAGCCAAGGAACTGCTCAGCACACAAAAACCAAGATCTTGGAAAAAGTTGACCTTGAAAGAAGTTATGACATTGTAAACTCAAAAAATTCAAATCGGAGAGAACTTATGCAGCAGCCTGATTTAATCATACATAACACACAACTCAACGAAGTTCACAAGTCATCCCAAGCTCAGAGTAAATAAATTATAAGAAAAATATAGTGTAGAAACAGCTTGAGTGAACTCGTACAGAATTGCATGAATGCTTGCGTTTGCATGGACTCTACCCATGTCCAATTCTTCTAAACACGAAATGTGGAGGCAAAATATAGATAAATAAAATGTACGGTTAGAATGTGCAATCAGAACTGTAAAAGCATGTTTTGATGATAGCTTCAGCGAGGCATGCGAATGAATATAATACAGTTGAGACAGGTGACTTGGGACAGGTGTTTCACTAGAATGAGAACGCAGTGTTTTGAGTAGATGGTTAAATACAGGCAAATCAGGTATCCAGCAGCAATGTATCGTCTGTACTTCATACTTTGCGTGAGTCGCATTTCCTTGTGAGCATCTGCCCATCATAGTAATTTCAGATTTTGTATAAAGACGCTGCATCCTACAACTGCCTTGAGAAAAACCTCAAAAACAGCGTTAGAGAAAATTTGAAGAAAGAACTCGAAAAGGTTAATGCTGAGGTAATAGGTTGTTAGAGCTCTTTGCAATCTCTCTCGAGCATCCACTTTTGGTATGATATCGACTTTTCAGTACGTTTGCGAAATAGAGTACGAACTTGCTGATGACATCGCATTATACGCTATGGGTCACCCTAGATATGAAAAAGAGATGAAAAAATTAGTAAAATTTGTGAAAAGTTTTGAGCGATTTTTCTTCAAAGTGAAACGCTTTGAGTGAGTCACTTTTCTCAACTAAAAGCAACCTCCTTTATTGCAATTACTGATTAAGGTCCCAGAAAGATTTGTTCAAGATCCGGCATGTTAGAAACAAAAAAATTGGCTGCGTTCATCTTCGGCCTGATCTCCAAAAATACATTTGCCTTATCGAAAAAGAATCATTGTACTTGAAACGGTTCTACAACCCATAAAGTTTTTTTCATTACAACCTCAATTCCACCAAAAACTCTAAGAAACACGTCATACGGCAACATCGCCATAACTTGCAAACGGCGCATGATTGTTTGAAAGGAAAACGCTGACATATCGACCTTTCAATCACTCAAGGGAGGACTTGGGCGCTTCCGTCATCGTCACTGCGAAATGAGCCGCCTGTGATCTTTACTCGAGGTCAGCTACTAGAGGGGGCAACGCCAAAGAATATGTGCACCAAGGTGGAATCGCTACTACAAATTACTAGCATAGTTTTAAATGTCCTATACATGACCGGAGGACGCGCAGGAGGAACCAAAGGCCTAGCCGCCTGTGTCCGCAAGAGATAATCAAAGCACTGCGCTAGAGCTTCGGCCAGGCTCCAGGAAAACTTCCAAGGAAACCTAGGGAAATTCTTGAAAATGCTCAAAAGTTCGCTTGAGAGAAAGCTCGAGAAAAAAATGGAGGCAGTTTTGTAATCTGCATTTTAAGGAGCATTTATTGGTTGAGAAATAGAAATGATAATTCCTGGTTTTCAGTCAAGATCTCACACCCACTGCCTTATGATTTCAGACGAAAAAAATTTTTAATCAAAAAATTCATCTTCAAAGCAGTGATAAGAACCAATCCAAACTAACATGCACAGCACAGCACAAGATAGCCAGGAAACGCGTAGTCTGCCATATTTGCGTACAGAATTCAAACGCTTTTGTTTAAAAATCAAAATGAAATAGTGAAAAAAATGTAAAAATCATTCTTGTTCCTCGAACCTTGTGTTATTTGGAACCCACTTCGATGAATCCGAGCTTATACGGAGTCTCATATTATAATAGTAATAGTTAGCCTCCAGTGCAATCTCAAAAAAGGCGATGAAGCTGGAGCTTGCGAGGATTTAGCAGGATCAGTCAGATTGAAATTCAGGATTTCTGAAGCTAACGAGTCTTAAAACTTTTGAATGCTAATAAACATTCTTACTTGTTTGGTAGAAGTACAACAATTTTGTGAATTGAAATGATCAACTCAAGCCTTCATCTTGAATGCTAATTCTATTAGATTGTTGCAAAAATAATGTCCCTTTTATTTTCACTTTGGAAGGCTATAACTAACTTTGTTCAGTCTTCATATTTTTGAATGCAGTCAAGACGGTCAGAAACAGGAAACCGTTCGTAATTTAGAGCTACCTGCTCATACTGATATCGCAAACGGGAAGAAGACTATGCGTCAAAAAACTGGAGTTTTTCGTTTGAAGACCTCGCCTTTACGAGCTTACAACTCCCTTCAAGTTTCGTTCGTATGGCTGGCAATCAGCTTATTTTGTAGCCGCAAGCCATAACTTTACGTGTGTATAGAAAAGACTCCAACAAAGGCGTTCTGCGCAAAGAAAATATAGAACTTCGAAAATGTTCACTTTTTTGAGCCTACTTGTTGTAGGCTTGTAAGTGCCAAATTATAAAAATTTGTAATTCTTCGCGCACTGAATCGCTAAGTTTCTCTTCAAGTATTGTAGTGAAGGTGTGCTAAACTCAAGCTTAGAGAAATGGGCGAAGCTTTGGCGACTGCCTTAATTATGAAAAATTTCTGACCCATAGAATGGCAGCAGCAAGTATATATTTCGAGGCGTTAATTTCTTAGCCCAGACATCTCCAAAAATCTAAGTAAGCATGCAGTAGATAAATAACCTTCATCCAATACAACTGCTATGTTTTCAGGAGAATTCGTTTATTTACTTCTGAATTGTGGTCAAGGATGTGAAAGCCATGATTCGGATTCTGAGTGCCGATGCGCAAAATACTGGTGAAATTCTCACATATGAAGATAGCAGCTTAATTCCACCAACATTAGAAAGTACATAAAGAAAGCTTTCAATTGATATACAGAGTTTGTATCGAAAAAGAAAGTTTGATGGAAAAAAGTTGTTTGGGATATAGGCCTAGAAAAACGGACATTATTTTTGCAAAGACCTAATATTTTTGCCTTCCATATCTCTGATCTAAAGAAATGTCATAAAAATTTTGGCCGACATTTTTTTTGAAATTCATTTAGGTATTTCATAAATGAACCCTATGAAAGGCGGATTCCAAAACTGCCATTTGTAGTACTCCTGCGTTTAGCCAAGCAGAACTACAGAGATTGTTCTTTTACAATTGTCTAAGTTTCTTTGCCAAATTTTTCTGGATCCCTGCCAAATTCTCTCCACAGTGCTCGCACTCATAATTATTTACTGCGGATATGGCGGCAAGGCATTTTCTCCTGCTACGCCGCCTACATGACCACATCCTGTACCGTGTGCCATACAGATTTGGTCCCTCGAGTATGTATGCCCAGAACACACGTCTGCATTAATTGGCGCTGATAATTTAACCCCATGTGAGAGTCCAAACAATGATTGATCTGAATCAAGTTTTTCGATTTTTTGAACTGACATCTGTTGTTTGGATCGTTAATCAAAATCTCTGCAAACTTTTGGTCACAACCAACATGGTAGACGGTCCAAAGTATATTTTTTCCGGGGAAAAAGCAACAATAACTTGTGTTATTGTTGCTTTTGAAATCGAATAATACTCGTTACTTTATGTGAACAGCAGTCCTGACTACTTTGTTGATCGAAGAAGTTTTGGAGGATATTGGAACGCGAAATCTTGCGCTAAGTTCGATGCGACATGCACTACCACACCCTTATTTTTGAAAGCTTTTAGAGCAACAAGCATCAATTGAGGAGGTGCTACGTACTTGCTGTGCGTTATTCTGCTTAAATAAAGAAGCCAAGCTATGATTTGGGTATATAACATGTACAATTCCTTTTACTTTTGTTAAATTCGTAATTTCAGCTTTTGCCTAACAGCGCTAACTTTTCGTTTCCATTCTTCTGCTTCCCACAATTTGAGTGTCATGCATCGTCATATTTCGATTTAATTAAATGCTTCTCTAAAACACATGGATCTTATTGTCCTGTCCATAGAGACCCGCATCAACACGAATCTCGACATCCATCAGGGAATGTGACTGACAACTCGTATTTAATGAAAGTATCATGGTTGTTTTGAAGCTTTTAAATGACTCAGTTAATTCGTTATGATTACTTACGGAAAGCTCAGTCGAAAGGCATTTTAAACAATCTCAGACATTCGCGGTTGAGTCGCGTAGGAAAAACAAGTCGTCACGGAATGCCTGCACGACTCTCGAAATCGGTGTCGAGACAAAATTTAGGACACCTGATTTTGTTTCGGGACAAAAGTGCGCGAAAATATCAGGTGTCCCAAAGGATACATTCCGGACAAAATCGGAACACCTGCGGGAGACACCATAATGCCCTAATCGCGTTCAGAGTACGCGGCCTACACCTTTATTAACAGCTTTTTGCGTCCGCTGTGCTTCCTCTCACGTCGCCTCCTTTTTCACTTACCTTGAGTCCTTAGTCTCTTTGGGTCCCACTTCTCACGCTTGCTACTTTTCTGCCAGTAAAACCCAGTCTTACGTCATGAAATTTGTTAACAAATACCACATAATCTTCTCGAGCACGCTTTACAGTAACATCGAAATGAGATGCACAGACAGCAGCAAGTATATGATTCGGAGCACCACAACTACGACACAAGTTCGTGAAACAACTACAACAAAAAATGAGTGCAATAGCATCAGGCTTCCTCAATGTCTCCAACTTTATCTCCAACGCATTCAGTTTTCTTGATCATTAGGTCTTTCTTCCTCCGATGCCTTCGATAACGACACGCTTTTTCTGAAAATCAAAAATAATACCAGTGATAATATAAAACAAATAAATCACCTTTGACGGAAGAAGCGCGGCTCGATGGAGGTCAAAATGGTACGTGCGGATGTCTTTGCTGCAAAATTATAGTTGAAAATTATTCCTTTTGCTGAATAAGTGAATTTTGTGTTACATATCACATTTCAGTAAAAGGACTGCTGTATTGGTGCCTCTTTGAACAAGAAACATGTAGGCCAACCACCATCCACGCAAGCTCATTTTCCCCTTTTTATTAGGTCGTTCCGAAAGTAATGTCGCTTTTTTCAAACGTATGCCTCATCTCGGAACAAAGATGTGTAAGAGATTCTGGTAGCATTTGATGCAGCGTTTCATTCTCTTTCTAATGGTTATAAAGTTGTTGCAATACAATCAATGAGCTTCCAGAAAAGAGTCAAAACCTGCGACCTATGCTTTTTGAGATGGCCAAGTTTCACAGTTTTTCTAAAATTTTATAACAAAAGAAGGAGTCCAAGTAATAAATGGATGGAGCAAACCCTACAGGAAACAACACAACTTTTTTCTACTTTCCAGACTCGTCATAATTTTTGTATAGATTTTTTGATGGAACCACCGAATTTTAGCATTCTCGCCTCAGCCACAAATGCATCAAACACCAATAAATCTTCGATTTTGAAACTTACAAAGATGGAATATGGTTTGGCAACAATTTTACATAGCAAATGAGCATTCACCGCTTCGGTTTAGCAACTTTCGAAAATTTCGGGTACACCTTGGGGTGCCTTGGAATAGCTGAATTATGATGATTTTATCCCGGAAAATTTGATGAATCGGAAACAAAAAACGACCGCTAGAAGGAGGAGAAAAAGCTGCATCGAATGACACCCAAATCGCTTGCCGGTTGTTGTTCTGTGAGTTTTGACTTGACTAAATATGGAATTTGATGGCAATGAGAAATTGATCGTAGAAACTCTGAGAAGCAAGCTATGGAAAAGAAAAAATTACTCTTTGTTCTATAGTGTTTGCTCTATCTACCTGCCACTTGCACTTTTTCGGAGATTAGGTACAAAAATTTAGAAAAATAG